GTTTGGACTAACCATATTTCAACAGCCCAACAGCCACATGTAGCTAGTGCCTACATTGGACCACACAGCTCTAAAGCAATACACAACTAATTGCCAGTCAGGGGTTCTTCATCTGTGGTCTATAGACCCCTACAGGCTCTTTGAATCACGTTTCAGTGAAATTGTTTTCCGTTGTAAGCCTACTTTATTTCATGCATTTAAAAACATTATTTGGAGAAAGATCCCTTAGGTTTCTCCACACTGCTAATGGGGTTCACAACACAAAAAGATTAAAAACCCCTGAGCACCAAACAAGTGAGTTTAGAAAAGATCACAGAGTGCAATAGAGAGCACGGAAGGTTTTACAGCTGAGGAATTTGTGTTGATTGAGGCAGTACTCTGTGATGGCTAAGAGCCTGGACTCCAGGTTCCCATCCTGGTCCTGTCATTGCTAGCTGTGAGATTTTAGGCAAATTATTAGCCTCCTTGTGCCTCAATTCCCTTATCTGTAAAATGGGATTTTAAACAGTGCTTACCTTGAAGGTTATTTTGTGAACTAAATGAGATCGTCTTAGAAGTGCAAAGCACAATGCGTGGGATACAGAAAGTGTCCAATAAATGTCTATGATTCCAGGAAAATCAGGATAACTCACTTATATAGAAGTGTGGTTTGAGAGTGTTTCAAGAAAAATTATCCCTGCCATGACATTTTATGTGTGATGCTTCAAAATGCTTATCAAATGAGAGAACTATTGCTGAAAGAATTTTAGCATCTTTTTTGCTAAGGCTTTTTTCAGTTCATTTGGTCAAAGGCTCTTGGATCACAGGTAACATGTGAGAGAGGTATGGAAGTTAACCAACTGGTGTTGCAGATATTTGCATTCCCTTTAAATTTTTACTCTTCTCTGGAAGTGATGGGAGAGCTGGAATGACAAAGTGACACCAGTGAGGGTGCTGATTTTAAATGGCACAGATTACACTATTAACCAGAAACAAGAGGCCAATCCAATCAGAATCTAGGACTAGGGCCGAGCCCGTGGCGCACTCGGGAGAGTGCGGCGCTGGGAGCGCAGCGAAGCTCCCGCCACAGGGTTCGGATCCTATATAGGAAAGGCCGGTGAGCTCACTGGCTGAGCGCGGTGCGGGCGACACCACACCAAGGGTTGCGATCCCCTTACCGGTCACGAAAAAGACAAAAAAAAAAAAGAATCTAGGACTATGAGTTTTCAGGGTTGACAAGAGGAAGTTTATGCTGAAAGCACCTATCCTCAGCTCAAGCAGACTCTAGAGAAAATGGATTCATCTAGAAGATTATAAAAGAAGAAATTAGTATCATAGCTCTCGAGTTCATAAACAGGATCATTTGAAACAATTCATAATACAGCCTGATTTCTTTTCGTCAGCTTCTACCCTGGAGTAAAGAAGCGCTGCATTAATTACCAGCTGGAGATGAAGCTAAACTGAAAGCCTGCTTTGGGAAGCTGAAGTCACTCAACACCCAAACTGCATTTGTTAGAAAGACCCCAGGCTGTGGCAGAGGAGATGAGAGGCAAGCCTTCTGACTGGCCCTGTCATAGCC